ATTGGAGTGGAATTATTTAATTGTTTGAGAATATTTCACTTCATTTTGTTGGTCCTTAAAATTTTAGATTTAGATTTTTTTTGGTTCATAAATTTAAAAAACTATTACTTTTGGTAGGTGGGATTTAAATTTAGTCTCTATTTGATCCTCAAATTTCAAAAATAACATGTTTGGTTTTTGAAATATGAATTTAATTTATAATTGCGGTCTATGAAGTTTGAATTTGGTTTCTAATTATCCAGTTTAAGTTTAGTTCCTAATTTGTCCCCAAAGTTGAATTGACCATTAGTTTATCTAACAAAATGACAATGTAATAGTTAACATATATTGACTACATTTGACTACTTTTGGAAAAAGAGAATAAAGAATGTCTAAACTGACAGCCAACTCATTAGAAATCAAATTTGAATTTCAATGACTTATTAAAAACTACATTCAAATTTCAAGGACCAAACATGTCATTTTTGAAACTCCAATGACGTATTGAAACAGAATTTAAATTTTAGAAATAAAAAATATTATTTTTTAAATTCAGAGATTAAATAGAGACTAAGTCCAAACTTTATTAACAAAAAAATGTATTTTACGTGTAAATAACTAGCCTTTAGTCATTCTAACTTGCTTCCCCAAGCTTTCACTTCTTTATTGTCGCTAATCAATATCTTGCGTCGGCCACCACCACCATGACATCGATCTCACGATCTATGTCAATGATAAATTTATTTGAAAGGAAAACTTCTATTTTACAAATAAATTTGTTTTCAAGAAAAGGAAGTCGTTTCTCTCTTCCATGGCTTAAAATTAAGGGGGGAAAATAAGTAAAATAATATGAGATTGAAAGCACAATGAATGAATAAGAAGGAGAAAAATTAGGTCAAAGTAAGGAAGTCAATAGAGTACGATCACTCAAAATAATAGTGTGTTTTAGGATGAAACTAATGTTCCTTGTCCTATCATTAAAAAAAACTTGTCCTCACTTTGTGTTGAAATGGAAGATAGGAGTATGAAATTAGGAACTTGCTATTATTGCTATTATTTATTTGGGAGAGTGGTCTTTTTCATTTCAAATAATGATCTTAAAGTTAATAAATATATTATAAAGTCCAACTTAATACCGAATTGGAAATGCAGATGCCACTAACGGAAAATCTGCTAACACTACATATGAAGTGCTGGAATGGCAGGATCATGCTTCCCAAAGCTCCCCTTTAA